CCTTATCCGAGTAAATTGTGCCCCGAAGGGGGAGCGGGCTGGATCTCCGTCCCGGGAGAAACAATGGGGTGCCGCGGGCGCCGCTAGATGGCGCTTCAGCCCGGGTTTCGGCCCGGGCTCTGCCCCTCTCGCCGTCGGCGCGGATCTCAGGCCGGGCGCCTGGAGCAAGTGGGCCCCCCTGTTTCTGCCGTTGGTCCAGTCCTCGCGCCCCTGCGCGCAGCGCGGATGGAGAGGCCCGGGAGCTCCTTACCTGGTGGGAAGGGGCGGAGGATCCACCTCGCGCGCTGCTGGGGTGCCGGCCCGCGCTAGGTGGGGAAGTTGGGGCCCCCCAGTGAAGTGGCTCCTGCAAACCAGAGACCTTCTGCAGTGATCCTCGGAAAATGGAAACAGCTCCAGAGAGCGCCCTGGCGGGAGAGAGGGGGGTCCTCCCAGGCGGCTTTGGCCCAACACTGATTCCTTCTTATNGGGAGTGTTCAGAGGAGCTCCTCCCCGCGGCGCGGTGGTGGGCGGGCGGCCAGGGCGCTCTGGACTGGGCCAGTTTGATTTTATAAAGCAATAAAGGAGACCGAGGAGCCCCGCCTCCAGGCTGCGGCTCCCCAGGAATGCGTTCGTTGCGGGGCCACTAGCAGGGGCGGGGGCAGGAATCCCAGGACCAGAGATGGGAGGGGGGGGCACTGAGCTTTGCATCCTTCACCCCCTGTTCGGAAAAAACCTTGCCTCGGCTTTGGGGCCCTCTCCGCTTAAAAGCCCGATTCGCTCCCTCCCGCGACGGTGCCAACCCTCCCACCCCGGACTTAAGGCCAAGCGTTAGAATTTCCCCGCGGCTCGGACCCTCTCCNATGATTCCTGCACCCCGTCCCCGCACCCCAACTCCTGGGTGTGGAGCCCCAGGAAGCTGGTTTTGGGGAAACGCTTCACTGGCTCAGCGCAAAGGCGATGGGAGGGCACACGGTGGAGACCCAGGAAAGGCAAGCGAATTTCAATGCGCCAAGGCCAGGTTCACGCCCGACGCCACGACGGGCGTTAATGACGGAGCGCGCCGAAAATGTCACCAGGAAAGTCTTTACAAAAAGACATCATCTCAAAGGCTTTGTAGACCGGGGACCCCCGCGCTGTGTGTCTTGGTTCAGAAAGCCTCGGCTTCTGTTAAATCTAATTACTTCCCCCCTGTGGCTTTAAATCGACGGCGGCTCCTATTAAAGTTAATTACCCTCCCCTGCAGCTTTCCTTTCTAAAGACCTTGGATAAATGCGGAGCCTGAGGAGGAT